GAAAGCAAGACATTTAGATAATATAGGTAGGCGCAGCGTATGTAGATGAATATAGTTGATATTTCGGTAGATAAATAAATAAGTGTTCTTCATTCACACCGCACATAAGTTGAAAATATGGAAGTGCGAAGGTTCATCATCATCATTTCAGCCATAGTACGTCCACTGCTGAACATAGGCCTCCCCCAATTATTTCCACAAAGGCCGGTTGGTAGCGTCTGCATCCAGCAGCGCCTTCCTGCTACTTTTATGAGACCGGCGAAGGTTGGAAACGCACAATTTTATTAAACGAATTAGGTAGGACGCAAAAACGATGATGTTTTGTGTTTTGAAAAAAAAATTGGCAAGTGATAGTGACTTCTCGTGGTCACATGACGTCACAGTCACAGACCACGATGACTTATCTACACGTGTTGTTGACATGTCATTACTAACTGCCACAGTGGAAGTACCTACAGATAGTTTTTTTACCTCCTTTTTTTTTGATTTGATGAGTTTTGTCTCGTCGCCAATAAAGCTCTGTTTCTTATTGTTTTATTTCGTTAAGGCAAAAGGTATTTCCTGCTGTCAAAATTCCAATTGGTTCGGTTTCAAAGAGTTATGCACCATGTACATTTCCATTTTTTGGCAAATTCTCTCAATAAATTTACCTATCATTGACAACCTACTTCATATTACTCTACTGTGCGCAATATGAGTAAGCGGGTTTCCTAGACTGCCGAAAATAGATGGGCCAAATTGTTCGAGCCGTAGGTGCTAACTGTTAATATGTCATTGAATCATTTAGAATAGATGTCGAACATCATTATAGAGTTCAATGGGTATTGTTGCTAACCACGAGCCTTTTTAGAGACAGATTCTTGTTTTTTTTTATTCACAACGAGGAAGCTCTTGGCCTGTGTATCTCACCTGATGGTAAGTGATGATCAGGCCGAAGGTGGAAGCGAGCTTCACCCAGAATCCTCAACCACGGAGGAACTGGCTATCTTACCTTTAACTGACGGAATACAACAATGCTGTTAAAATTGACATTATCATTGAATTAACATTGTTTGTTAGATCCTTGATAGAGTAACGGTAAGTTACCTATTATCAAAGTATATATGTTACGGTCAAAGTGATAAATGTGAAAATTATGAATAATCGCCGGTTATTATGAATAATTACCGCATGATTTGGTAAATGTGATTAATATGAGGTCATTTATGTGTGTATAAAACTAAATAGGCGGCTTAGGGGTGGCCCAAAGGCCCAAAGGCCACCCCCGCCGCACCTTAACCTATTTNTCTAACTGACGGAATACAACAATGCTGTTAAAATTGACATTATCATTGAATTAACATGGTTTGTTATATCCTTGATAGAGTAACGGTATGTGGTTACCTATTAATCCCATTTTCACTCGTTTTCATCTCAGCAATTCTTGCATTCTATGTAGAAAAACAAAAGCCGAATTACTTAGTGGGAATTGAGTGAGTTGTGTGCTTACCATGAGTTTACGTTAGGTGTGCTCGCTAGCGACTGCGTAAAAAAATGTCATTAAATGTATGACATATTGTGCAGCGCCCCTAGCGGGTACTTTCAAGAAATAAAATCTTCATAGATTTCTTTGACGTAGGTACTCGCTAGCGAGCGCACCTAACGTAAACTCATGGTAAGCACACTGGGGAGATCAACGACTCGCCTGCTTTGCAAATTTTGCAATGCAAGCAGTGAGGTAGTGTAGTCAAGCAAATTCATCTTGAATCAGCCGCGTGTAGGCACCAAATATGGGCAGTTTTGTGCAATTATGCACAGTCGTGGCGATTGGCGATCGCCTCGTTGTAGAATAGCAAAACAAATCGCTAGTGTGAAAAGGCTCTTTAACACACTAGGTATTACCCGGCTCGGATGGATAATTGGATGTTTTAGGCAGTTTCCACGCCTTTGTGGTTTTCGGTTATTTCCAGTAAGTTTTTATTTAGCATGCATACGCAAGTAAAACTTCTCGAAAAAAAATACCAAGTCTAATCCAGGTCATGGCCTTGTATATGTGTGTGCTAAATTTCGGCAATAATTAAAAACAGACCGTTAAGTCGATCACCAAGCTTTTTCAGACTTATGGAGTTTGGATAGGGCATAATATCGCTTGACGCTTCATTGCTCTAACCAAAATTATGTACGAGGATTACCTAATACAGTTAAGCGTGCAAATCTATACACATGTAAAAATTTGTATGTATAATATGAATGCTATTCTTGGAACTAAGTTTGAGTGTGACCGATAAGAAAACATACCATTTTCATGGATTTTTCATTAAAATGTCCTGAATTTTATACTATTTCTTTATTGATTCATATTGCAGATGAAGATCTTACATTTATCGATCGCAAGGGATCGACAGGAAAGAACCGCGTGCGAGAGAACAAGAGCTGATATGATTCGATTCGCCTGACATTTATCTGATTTTATCGATGAATAAAGATACAGTTAAAAAATAAGTAGGTAGCTAGGTAAGTCATAATGGTTTCGTATCACAATAGCTCTTGACTAATTTCCTACGTGCAGTCTAGAACTACACCTAGTTATCATGAAATCTAATTTAGTAACCTAATATTGGGAATTGCGAAATAAAAGATTCAATAGATTGTATAAAATGTTTTTTATTTCATAATTTGATAAAACATACCTTTAATTGCACAGTAAAAACATTGAAAATTTAATCACTAAAAACGCTCTTTAAACGTTACTAAGCCTATGGATATTTGAAATAACGATGTCATTTTTAAAATAAAATTGTCAATAATAATATTGTTAATGCAATAAAAAAGTATAATTTAATCGAACAAGCCTATAAATGAGTCACCTACTAACTTTCAATAAGAATGAAGAATAGGCATGAGCAAGGGCGGCTTCGCACTAGGTCCAATCCGAATCCGTGAAAATATGTTCGTAGTCGTGGAACTATGTACAACCCGGTCGAATTAACTGCACATCTGGCAGCCGTGACGTCATATCGATGCTCTTCTGGTGTGCGGTGGACGAATGCGAGGGAGTCGCATTGCAGACCATGTTGTAAGGTAGTTTTTTATCAAAAACAATTAGTAATTTGTAAATAAACTACAAAAACAAATTAGTAATTCAGACTGGATACTATGACCGCAGGTGTAGTCCGGCAATGAGTCACTTGGAACTGAAGTGAAGACAAACAACAACGCTGTCGAACATAGCTGGACATTCCGTCGTCTACGTGACATTATGTAATTGCTTCTAGCGTTAAACCAAATTTTAAACAACTCGAATAAAAATGTCTAAGTAGTTCAGATGGTGAGATCTGAGAGCAGTCGCCCGCCCGGCAAGCGAAAGGTCGTGGGTTCGATTCCTACGGCAATTGGTTTTTTTCAAGTTATTTAAAATGAATATTGTTACTTAATTAAAGGGAAATACCTACCTACTTAATCAAAAATATTAAATAACATTTGTCATCAACAGTACATTACGCAATTACAAATGAGATTAGGTACCTACATAACATACTTTAAATATTTAAACATCACAAGCGCGGAGTGGTAGAGGCAAGTCCAAAGTCCAAAACTTCGATGAAAAAACTGATACCTATTCATACATTTTGTCTTTATCACGTTAGGTATATGATAGAAAAGATAAAAACAAATAACTTTAACTTTTTACCTACCACAGACCAATTATATGGTAAACAAATGACGACCGTGACCCTGACAAAAAACGCTTTGTTTTTACCGCATTACAAATCAGTTGCACTTTGCACTTTAACGACGCGTAATACGTTATTTAAGTGATCATTGTTCGTAGGACGATTAATAAGAAATTCCCTATTAATTATTATTTATTACCCACGCTTCTGTTTGTTCAAGTCAAGCCTATCGATGACGTGTTTGCACTAATTGCGAGAAATAATAAAATTACGCGTGTAGACTACCAAAGCACTCGTGACGTCACGTCTTGCAACTTGCATTCTTATTTTTACCCGACTGCGCCAGAAAAAGGGTTATGTTTTTTAGTAAGCATTGAGAGAATGTCTCTAAGCTGGACTTGGTAGACTACGAACAGGATAGTTATTAAAATTTCCTAGCGATTAGTCTCTACTCAAACTAACTTATATATTCGTGGGTTCGATTCCCGTCTTAGGCAGTTCGATTTTTAGTTATTTGTAATTATGAACAGAATATAAATAAAGTAAAATATTATTACTAAGTAATAGATGAAACATTAAATATTGATTCTACTTCTCAAACACAAAATTTGCCGAAGCCACCTTGGCCCAGCGGGACTCGAATGTGCAACAGGTAGGTGTAGAGTCCAGTAAGCGAACCACTGAGCCACAGTCGTCAATTTCATTGCTAGATGACGACAATCCAAAGGTCAAAACGTGCAGGATGACAATGAAATAGTGATATCTTACTACTGCGCAACCTAATATCGATATCGATAAAACAGGTATCTTTTTACGGAAACGATAGCAAAATTGCGAAAAATTCAATCGGCTGTTCCGTACCTACCTACCATACAAAAATGACCAATACAAGTTCCCATACTGAATAAGTAGGTAGATATTGTATTTCTTAGTTAGAGCCGGTGATTAGCGTTCTTATCTGCCTACGTCATGCATGCAATTCTTATAGACAGAAATATTGCATGAATAAATCTGAGTTAGAAATAATTTTTGTTGGTGAGTTTAAAAAAGGATGAGAATCTTATTTTTACTTCTACATTATTTGAGCTACCTACCTAAAGTATTCTTTCTACATTGTTAATTAATAGGATTTCATAAAATAGGCTTGTTCTTTTAAAAAATAGTCACATGCTGTACTGATTGTTTTTATTCCAACAATTTGGAAAATAATATACTAGCTATATCAATAACTACAATATTAAAATTTATATAATTTTAACTACAATATAACTGTTATAAACTATAAAATATACTTTAAATTAACCTACAACATGTAGTAGTAACATTATTCAATTTTCGATTAAAATATGTACAAAGGAAAATAGTCTCTTACTTTTCAAGTTGAAACTCACAAATGCAGTATAAATATTTGGTTGTACCTGAGGGGTTACAAGGAATTAAAGCTTTATTCCAAATGAGTCACTTGGACATCGGCTACAATACAAATTAAATAAATCTAAAAAATAAGAATCTCTACTTAAATACCTTAAAATTATCTATTCACTAATATTTTAGCATAATCACCTTAAATACCAAAACACCAGACATATTTTTATGTAAAAGATATATGCATAAAATATTAGTGAATAGTCAGATGTTTTTGTTTTCATCATCGTTTACATTATTGCTGTTAAATTACATTTAATTGTAATACAGTTTGAGAACATTTAAGTGTGGAATACAAGTAAAGTGCACATTGAAATATTTTAAGTTGCATTATAACTCAAGCTATCATCTAACATGAATACTAAAACTTAAAAGAAAAAATATGGGTTGTCAATACAATCTCAATATAAATAAAAGTAGGCAGTTTATTCACAACAAATAAAAAAGGCAGTGAAACACAAAAGGCATTGAAAATACTTTAATTAGTTACAAAATTTTATAAACTACTGTGAATTCTTATCGGGTAACGGTGGAAGACTGTACGATTTACCGTCCGGTGTCATCCAGCAGGTTGGTGGATCGTGATTGTGGCGTCCTATGCTCTCGGTAACTTTTCCTGCATTGTTGATTCGGAGCTTCGCTGGACAGCACCGGCTGAAGAAATACCAGCAGTACCACAGCTGACTGCCATATGCCTTTTTGTACATAAATCTAAATGTGTGATTCTGGTAAATAAATAACTTGGAATTGCCTCTTGTGTTTATGAATATACCTGAAAATAATAATTTTATGTAAGATAACGAAAATATAATATTCACTTAGCATCTAATAAGTTGGCAGTGAAGGGAAATAAAACAACAGAATGTTACAATTATTTAATATGATAAATGTGTGTTCTGAAGTTATAACTGTTGAGATTTTGCTAAAAAAATCTAAGAGGTTAGTGCAATCATAATTGATAAGTTAGTAGTTTAGTAATTGTATAAATAATTTTAGAAACTTCTCATAAAACATTTATTTTTGGTTAACATAAATAAGTAAATACCTAAACTAATGAATAAATGAATAGTAAAACATTGTTAAGTTGATCCAAACTAGTGATTGTAGCTTTGTTGTCTAAAGTTCATGAAATATTTATAAACAAAGTTAAAACTACTATTCTAAGTTTTCTGGGCCAGTTCTACGAGTAAGGACCTGTAACTACGCTATCATTATGTAACTTATGAGCTTTAAAAGTTTTGCAATTTTGATCCAGAAACTTAGTTCACTTTTTGACGTGTATTTCAAGCAATGAAAACAGCACTTTATCCAAGGATCACGGAATGAATGTTTATTTACACGTCACTTCTAACACGCACAACGTACACTGCATCCACTAAAGTCAAATACACTTCAACATTAAATTAATTACATGTCCATCGAACAATCTTCCATTTTTTCTCTTCGTACAAACATGCGACAAGTAGTAAAACAACTGAATGACAACTTGACAAGTCACTTTGACACTGACTTATATATTTTTTTAAATTGGATGTTTAGGATTAGCGCGGCCGCGTTGTCCAATTAGCGCCGACTATTTTTCCTACTAAAGTGTTTTCATTTCAAGGCAAGGGTCTAATTTATTTTGGTGTATTGTTTTCATTAAATCTCAATCTTTCTTTTAGTTACTACGTTTCTTTTCAACTAAATGAATAAAATTGTGTTATTAATTTTATCTTACTAAATTATGTTCCTTCATCATAAATTATTTTCAAAATTCAAACTAAAAAGGAACATTAAAATAAACGCAATTTTTTATTTGCAATAATTTAATTTGTATAAACTAGCTTCCATTGTGATTGTGCGTAATGGAACGGAGATGGCAGCGCGGGCGCGCGTCTTTTTGGATAGGTCTGTGTAATCTGTGGACGACGAACCGAGGCGGCGTCCGTCAGTCAGCGTCATCGTACATCATTCTTTTCGTTCATTCTTTTTTCTGTTGTTTACTTCATTTGTTTGACCGGATTAGTGTAACACACAATAGATGTTTCATTAATTAATTGATCAATCAAACAATAATATTACTAAACAAAAACGTTAGAGGAGTCGTTTTTAGTGATGTGATGAGTGCTGTGAAGTTATAAACCAAATAGTAAACACGTGGAACACGTAAATTCGATTTGTTTACCACATTAGCCTATAGTTTTGAAGATTGTGCGCCAATCCTGTTTATTAAGTTTAAGGCTGACTATGATTATAAACATTAATGAAAATTTTGAGATTAACGTACCTAGATGTAGATTTCATTAATCACACTTCAATCGTCTCTTTTTCATGCTAGGCATCTAAGAATAAACATACTGATGGATTCTTCGTTTTATTTTCCCTTGTGTTCATTCATAGATAAGTTAGTTTATCTAAGTTAGATTTATTGTTGTTTTTCTTTGTTTATATGTTTACTGAAAAATATATACCTATTTGTTTCAGTGGCAAACTTCATACCAACCCGGAAGGGCAGCTTACTATTAGTCCATAATGGCTTTGCATTTCGGTTGAAGAATAAATTGGCATACGGAAAGAAACAATGGTACTGCACTTCACGCACCAAGACTGGCTGTCATGTAGATGTTACCACCGAAGTCCATCGAGAAGGACAAATTATCAAGAGAGTTCGTAAAATTCACAATCACCCTGCTCCAGGATTTTACCGTCGTAATGATGGGTCTTTTAAGGTTGTATAGTTTTAATTTAAGACTGATAATTTATTTCGCTTCCTCATGATGTACCTTAATATTTTTACAAAACAATTAAGAATAATTTATCTCGCTACCTCATGATTTGAGTACCATAATATTTTTACAAAAACAATTAAGACTGATATTAAGGACTGAGTTGCATTGATGCAAAATTAATGGTAATTAATTTTTAGCTATTATTATAGCTAAAAATTAATTACCATTAATTTAAGACTTACTTTAAGAATTACTTTAAGACTGATAAAATACTCATTGCCATCTTAGATAATTTAATAATTGTCTCAATTTATTGATTTAAGGTTTTATTTTTAAATTTGTATTTGGTGTGAAATAATACTTTTTTTATGTTTTCTTCATCATCATTTTAAGCTTTATTTTGAAAATAATTTTAATACTGTTTTCTTTCTTTGAAGATAAGGGTGATAAATTGTTCATGTCATACCCAAATATGTCTACTATTTTGTCTATTTTACTGCCAGTTCAATATTTTAGAATTTAAAAATCTAAATAAATGTACCTAAAAAGGAAAATGGAGGGACTGAGGAACAATGTTGCTATTGTAATAAAATAAGATGTAAACACTAAACATATTTTTCTCATATAGTTGTAAGTATTATTTATTGTAAAAAAATAATTATCAATACTGAAGACACTGGTATGTTGGATAATTTGCAGCTTCTTTATAATGAGACTATACCCTTAATTAATTACTAATTAGTTTATACAATGGATGTTGTATCAAAGTTTGATATTTTGAATAAAATAAGTACCAATCATATGCCATGGTTTCACTTAGGGTTTTCTATCCGGGAAAATATTTTTATTGCAACTAAGTAGCATTGTTATTGTTCAATTTATTAACCGGTTGCTAATTTATTTGCTAACTTAGATTAATCTAAGTTTACTAATAAATAAGGTTGCGGAACTCCCGCTTCCGCCTGTGTAGAATTTTGTATCCTTCTGGATATTATTACCTAACTTTAAAAAAGGTTTATTTAATAATAAAAAAAATCTTAGGCTGAGTTGCACCACCAACTTTGACCGTAACTTTAACGATAACCGGTGTTTTTTGTATGGAGTTCGACAGATTTTTTTCCGTTTGTCAAAGTTAAAGTAAGATGGTGCAACCCAGCCTTATCTACTCTACTAATTCCGATTGGCACGCATTTGTTAAAGCAATCTATTAATCTTATCTACGGAGTCTTCGGCCAAGCGTTCGTGGTTGTGGTCACCTGCTATCGCCAGGACCTCGTGATCGGTAGTAGTGACTATGTGGGCGCGACAACCTTTCTTCCTCGAGCAATACCAGCGCCAGCCGAACTTGGTGGGGTTGCTGTACTTAGCATACGTGTAATTCTGGTACAGTAGCAGTGGCCGGCCTTTTTTTGACAACACTTCTACCACTACTGCGTCTGGAAGGGTTAAATTTAACTTATTACAAATGCGATAGTAAAATAGGTTTCTTTACTATCACGTAGTAACTCACGCCCGTATTCACAAACATTATCTACTATGAGGTCTCACAGTGCGCGTGGACGCACAGGGTGACACATGAACCAACCACAGAGCTCTATTCAACGATGTGCGTTCGATTTGCTGCTTCACTTATGCAAGAATTTTGTGCATTTGTTTGTGAATACGGGCATCAGTCTTTTGCTTTTCATCTTTAAATTGAAACTTTTTGTGATTACCTACTTAGGAGAAGTAATTTTGTGTTTTGAAACACTAAACATTATGAGCAATAATACCTACCTAGCGGAAGATCGTACACCACACCTAGCGCACGCTTTACACCTTTGATGTTTTCCATTGGTTAAGTAACTGACCCGATTTTTAAATTTTTATTTGTAAAAAAAAAACTAATTTTTATTTCAAAAAAATCTAAAATGAGTGGCATGTAAATCTCTAAACTTTAATATAAGTACCTTCCTTATATCTATCAGTGAAACTGACCCTTACGTTTGATCGGTGTGTGGAGATCCTTGGGGGAAGAAAAAATACTTGTGTTTTGAAGCAAGGATTAAAAAAGAATAATTTATAGGACTACTTAATAAAAAGCGTAATTTTGTTTACAACTTTTATTTAAAAATCTTGGTTTTTGATATTCATGAAAAAATAAGTTAATCATGAATGTTTGTCAAAATAATTCACACAGGCACTATAGCGAAGACATGCATCATATACACATTTTCTTGAAATCGTGAGAATAAAATCATCAGATAAGGTAAAAAAAATCCCCTTAATTTTTTATTATACACTTAAAATATTGAGGAAATATGCACACCTGTACTTCAAAAGTAAAGTAGGTAGTACAACATTTTTAATGTCACTTAAACCAAAAAATCAAAAGCATTACGTGGCATTACAATCTAATATTCTTGACTTGAATAAATACAATAAACATTATACATAATATACACTTATCTAACACCCAAAGCAATAAAACACGTCATATTATTATGACAAAGCACACTAACATAGTATTGAGCGGGAATGGAACCCGCGACCTCTGGCGTTTTAAGTTTACGTAGGTACATACATAGATATAATTTTTTCCTAATTTGTTTTTTAAACATCAGTATTTTATTAAAATTAATTTAATTAGAGTTAGGTATAATTACATATTTATAATTACATACTCCACGCCAATAGATGTAGGTAAGTACTTGCTAATTAAAAAAGTCAAACTATCATGATATAGGTATTAATTATTTGCCAATCTCATAAATTACATACTTTTACATTTGCCACCAACAAATGTATTTTAGGAAACTACAAAGTCCTATGCTTTCTTTCAATTACAATTTCGAATATTATTGTGAACAAAATTCAACACAAATCTTATACAGGGTGTTAGGTAAATGGGTATATGAGCCGGCACTAGCCCATGTTAACATGGTCATATAAATGGTATGGTGAAGTCAGAAATTAGATATCATCATTTTATTTTTTTTAATTTTCATACAAAATAAATTTTATAAAATCCGATTTGTATGAAAATTAAAATAATTAAAATGAAGATATCAATTTTCTGATTTCACCATACCATTTATATGACCATGTTAACATGGGCTAGTGTCGGCTCGTATACCCATTTACCTAACACCCTGTAATGCAACGCGAAATTACGAAATTATTTTGATGCCTGTTTTAATTTTTAAATAAATAATAGGTAGTGGAACTAAACCCACTGTAGAAAATTCTACTAAGAGGAGGTCATTTGGTAATTATTATTGGACCTTACCTTTTCCTAATCAAAGTTAAGTTAGGTCAATGTGAATTTGCTATAATGCTATTCAGTTCCAGTCACCCTGTATGTATTCTTAGGTACAACATTTGCCAAAGTGTGTTAGCATGGATTATAAGCTGTCTTATCTTTACAAATTATTACTCGTATAAAACTACGTTCTTAAAGTACTCGCCGTTCAACAAATGAAATTGCTTAGCAATACAATGCAAAATGTATTTATTTCTTTTATTAATACAACGTGTAGAGTGATTGTCTGAAGGGTTATAGTGGTCCCCAATATTGTGTTTTACTCCAAAGGTGGTTAAAAAATCAAAAGTGTGAAAATAATTTTTTAAACCTTTACTGCTAGTCCTAGTCTTCTTACATAATTTTAAGATACTATCGCTTATAAATACATACCACAANACAGACAGACAGACAGAGTTACTTTCGCATTTATAATATTAGTTGGGATACCAGTTACCACAATTTATTTAACAGACGACGGCACATCAACGTTGCTACAAACTGACATTTTATGTACCTATCTCGCAACATACATGACTGTTATCTATCTATACTCCGTCACCGTCATTTGTGCTCTGAAACCCCTAAACTTTTCAACGAGGATTGCGGTAGAACCTTCCTACTTAGGCGGGGGTTGGTAGTGTGCACTGGACGCCGCAGTTCTTGAGGTTGTGCAAACAAATGACAGCGCATTATACACTGTAATCTCGGATCTGAACGGATAGACCAGTGTTCATCTCTTAAAAAGTTCCAGAGGTTGGAGCGAACAAATGAAGGCGCATTTGTGCCAAAATCTCGGATCTATTGTTCTATCTCTTCAACGATCAGCGGTTCCCTCAACGCTCCAATAACATTAGAAGGATTGCGATAGTACTTAGGAGGGGGATGGCAGTGTTGCTCATACACGGATGTGATGTAGTTGTTATTGTCTGTGAACACGCTGGCTCGACAGTTCTTGAGGTTGGAGCACACCCAGCGGGATCTGTTGAACTTCTCGTACTGCTTTCGGTAAGTGTATTGCCTGAAGAGCAACATCTCTTTGCCTTTGCGCGAGGTGATCACCACTGCCGTGTCTGTGGAGTAAAATAATTTGGTAAAGGACTTTTATAGCAGGTCATATATAGCCGCTGGAAAAAAACACCCTCCTAGAGCTTCAAGACCCCCCTATTTATTACCAGAAGACAATGGAGGATTTACAGGAGTACAAAAACTACGAAAGATGGATGAAATCGTTTCAAAATTTAACAATAAAACCTGGGTAAAACAGTACTAAGGTGTTTAGCTATTCGGGCCGTCAACCACTAGGTCTTAAGAAGTGAAAAAGTTATGAATTTAGGGTGAAAAAAGATGTTACATTTTTGGCCAACTAATCTGTCACATTGAATATCTCAATAAATGCACGGTCTTACCGTTTTGATCCTCGTCCATCGTGTCAATCCGCGTCGGGGCCTCGTGTTCATGCACCGTGTTGCCCAAGATGATCTCATCCTGATGGTTGAGGAGCAGGAACGCGTTGCACTGCCGGCTGACGGAGCAGACCCACCGAGTACCTCGCTTGGACTTGTATCTTTTGCCGTATCTATGCCCTTTGTATTCTACCAGCAGTCGTCCTGAAGCAGACTCTACGAACACCGGCACTTCGCTATCGTCCGCATCGTCTTCTGCCTCTATGTAGTATTCCACCGTTTCTGTGGTTTCTGCGAACAATACAATATATGATTTATCTAGTTTGATGCAACTGGGAAGTTCATTCGTTCGTTCGTTTCAGCCGAAAGACGTCCACTGCTGGACAAAGGCCTCCCCCAAGGATCTCCACAAAGACCGGTCCTGCGCCGCTTGCATCCAGGTACCTCCCGCGACCTTCACCAGATCGTCGGTCCACCTAGTGGGAGGCCTGCCCACGCTACGTCTTCCAGCTCGTGGTCGCCACTCAAGAACTATCCTGCCCCAGCGGCCATCAGCTCTTCGAGCTATGTGGTGTAACTGGGAAGTGCAGGACTAATAAAAGGCACAGTAAAATGTACAAAAAATTATTTATAAAGATAAATATGAGATCAATGGAACTTACTTGCAAAATTACAAAATATTATTTCAAAAGAACCGTTTAGCAAAGAAAAACTTATTTTAATGTAAAACGAATTAACATAATTTATTGATGTTACTAATAAAAACGAAACGATATTAAGACATTTCAAAATCATCATCAAATTCAAAATGTCAAATTAGTAACATAATAAAACAATACTCGATATAATAAGTTTATAATACTGCAATAAACTGCAATTTCATTACTACAAAACCTAACATACATTAACAATGTGACAAATAAGGTACTTTCGGCTCATGATTGTGAGCCAACTCATAATTGATGACATTCTGGAACTTGTCAAACGTGACTTTGGCGGGGCACCCTCGAGAGATCCTTCGGGAACAGCACCAGTACCGGGTGCTCCTCTTGACTTGGTTGAAGGTGTGTCCGCCGATGCAGAGCAAATAGTTTTTACCGTGCAGTGTAGGGACGAACGAGTAGCCAATACCTGAAAATAGGACCTTTCTCATGCCTTTTCTGACTTGTATAAGCTTTGCATCATCATTTCATCCAGAGGACGTCCACCGCCTCTCCCAATAATTTCCATAATGGCCGGTTGGTAGCGGCCTGCATCCAGCGCCCCAGCTACCTTTATGAGGTCATCGCGAATAAGCTTTTAGCTTTTATCGACAAGAAAATAAGAAAGAAATCATTGTATGAGATATTTATTGCGAATTTTCATTACTCGCGTTCATCAATTTAATATTTTTTATCTGAAGACATAAGACTACAGAACACCAAGCTTCATATTTTATATAAGTTGATTATTGAGATCGTTAATATTTTAGTCATTTACATACACAGTTTGATTGCTTGAAGTTTTTAAATATAACGTCCCTTACTAATAAAAATTACACGCTCGTTGAACAGTGTTATAAAGTAACGTTTAGTATCGAAAAGGGGGTAAGTAAGTATCCTCATAATAAATACTAGTAGGTACGTAATGGGGAATAATGAACTAAAAAGTTCATTAATCCCCATTACGTTGATTACATTGACGGGGATTGAAAACGGGGAATAGTGGAATAAGCCATACTTACTGGTACTATTTGTGCTAACTAACATTAACAAACCCAAAACAACTTTTGGTCTTCTTGTTCCTCAGCTCATGGGTATGCACTCGGTCGTACCGCACAATTTTCTTACATGTGTTGTCTTCAAACCGGAGCTTGGCTTTGCACCTGGTGGAACTCCTTTTAGAGCAGGTCCAGTACCTCCTATCTGACGACATCAACTGGTTGAAGGTATGGTTCTCAATCTTGAGAATGGAGTGCTTGCCGTGGGTGGATGGAATGAACTTGTAATGGATTTCTGAAAATAATTTCTGCACTGGTTATAAAACCTGGATTTTCAATCTGGATAGCAGAAAGTTTTCTGCGGATAAGTATACCTACTACGTCTGGATTTGGAAACGATAGTATGCTGTGTGATCAACCAGGTGTGAAGCTATAGCACAAAATGCTATAGGTTAAAAATTCTACAAAATGTTCTTTATTATGTCTTTTTCTTGTAACATAAAACTGAATTATTTCAAACGAAATAATATCCATGTTTACTCTAAAAATGTTTATTTAAAAAAACAGGTACATATTTTGTTTATCAATTCATTGAATCGATTGGAAATTATACTCCTATCCGCAAAGGTTCTGTGGATGTATAAGCTTAAATATACACGTACTTACTTACTTATATAGATATAATTAGGAAGTTTAACCTACTCTGGCGACGCGGTTTGACACGACATTTCTTAGCGCAAGAAATCTTGTAAGTTGTTTGTTTTATCTACCTTACTCCAAATTCTCTATAACTAATAATCTCTTTTGAATAGCTGGCCTAGACACAACCATTTTCTTTCTCACCCGCCATCTTTATTTACACTTTATAATATTTCCCGTTAACCTTAATGAGCTTACGAGGCGGATGGTTGTGGTAGTTTTCGTAAGACACTAGTTTATTCCCGGCAAAACGGACTTTCGCCTTGCATTTGGTCGAGGTTTTCCCGGAACAATACCAGTTTCGCCCGTCTGAGGTTACCTGGTTGAAGGTGTGGCTGTCCAGCACCAGGATAGGATGCTTTCCCTGAACTGAAGGGATGAATTCGTAGGATAGTCCTGAAAAGTGACTTTTAGATTGAGAAATTGAACATTGTCTTGTGGTGGTATAATAAACTAATTTAATCGGTTTATTCACCCAGGTGATCAAAGTGGACTGTGTAATTGACCGTTTAATCAAGCTACCCGTCACCAATGTAACTTCCTAGAATAACTAAACTTATTTTTGTGTGATTCGTGACGGGGAGGGTTCGTTAATTCATGTATAAATTAAAAAAATTAAAAACCCCCACACAAAAAATAAACTCTAAAAACTAACAAATAATATTTAAAACAATGTCGCGTCGTGGTACCACTTGTAAGTCAGACCCTTTATTCAGCATTCAACTAGCTAACAATAATTAAAAGCAAAATAATTTTCGTTGGTCTTCGGGACTTTCCTCGGCTCATGGGTATGCACTCGATCATACAGCACAATTTTCTGACATGTGCTGTCAAAACGGACTCTGGCTTTGCACCTGGTGGAAGTCCTTTTAGAACAGCTCCAGTATCTCCCATCTGACGTCACTTGGTTGAAGGTATGGTTCTCAATCTTGAGGATGGAGTGCTTGCCATGAGTGGAGGGAATGAACTCGTAGTGGAGTGCTGAAATGATAACCCGGCTCTTTCAATCTAGAAGGAAGTTTTCTGTGGTATTACGTCTACTTATATTTAGAAACGATAGTGTGACTTACCGAGTGAGAGACTAATGCCCGTTTTCACCATCAATCCCTAAATTTTAAGTGACCCCTATGAAAACAAAATGCCTGTTAGGTGTTACCATTTAAGTGACTCCTTAAAAATTAGAGATTTATGGTGAATACGGGCATAACACAAAAATACTTTATTTAAACCATTTCTTTTTTCTTTCTAAATAAAACTAAATTAACTACATGTTTTTATGAGTTGGTAATATCCAGGTTTAGGTGAAAGGAAATTTATTTACAAAAAGAAATAGGTGCATGCACTTGGTTAGCAGTTGATGGAATCAACTGAAATTATCTAAAAATCTATACACCCACGAAGTATGTCTAACCTTCCGCCAAACACCCTGTATATAACTTATTATGGATAATAATACCACAGATAATACTGATTATGTACCTTATTATCGTGCATTTCAGCGGGGCTACTCCCATCACTGTCCGTAGTTTGCGATGTTTCCATTTTTTAGCAAAATGAGTTATCAGTATGAGTGGCAGTGACAGACAGGTAGAGCGGCGGAATCTATATACAGGATGGAATTTTGTAATGCTTGCCACCTGGAGGGAAAGTTCTTAATACTGTAGATAGAAAATTCTAATCAAAGAAAACATTCCTTTATTTTTGAAAAGAAAGAGAACTGCATTAAAGATTTCAGATTTTTTTTTAAATTCACCACCATACCATAAAATTTTCAGTAAATAATTTTATTTATTTATTATTACATTATTTAGCCATTACATCTTTGATTTAAATAGTGTCTTAAATCCTCTTGAGGTTTGTCTAGACACTATTGTTCTCTATGCAAATTTTCGCTAAATAATTAAAATAATTGAAGATTTCATGGTTTCCTTTCATTTGATTTATCAAGTTTGTTAGAGAGATTTCATGCTTATACTTTACCCTATAACGATCGATGCAATAAAAATACAGGGTGTAATTTTCAACAGATTTTAGTTGGTTCAATTCCCGGATGTAACAAACTTTTTGGAAATCTTTGAATGCAGTTCCATTTTTTTTCAAAAATAAAAGAATGTTTTCTTTGAGAAAAAAAATCTATCTACAGTATTAAGAGTACTTTCCCTCCAGGTGGCATTACAAAATTCCTCTGTATATTGCCTATAGTCTAACGTATCTTCCATTAATTTTTAAGAGTGGTCGTGGGGGATGGTTGTGTCTGTTCTCGTAGAAGATGATCCCATCGAAGCGGACCTTGGCAGTGCATTTTGCAGAGCTTCGTCTCGTACAAGTGAAGTACCGCCGACTGGCTGCTACCTGGTAGAATGTATACTTGTCTACCACAAGGACATCCCTTTTGCTATGCGTTGACGGTATGAATTCGTACGCGATTTCTGTAAAAACCAAGGTATATATTAGCAGTTGAAGAAAACTCATTTTCATAGCCTTTGAAAACAAGCTTATCTTCTTTTTTTTCAGATTGAACTTCGAGATCACAAGATCTACATGGTGTTTGGCGGACGGTTAGACAAACTTCGTGGGTGTATAGGTAAGGTCATTTTAAGAATACAAGTTCGCCCATTTGACCCTAAGTGAGCTACTTTTTTTTTAAATGATATTTTTGTTTTTGTAATTTTTTTCCGAAATTTTACCTAAAAACTGCTTCAATTTTTTTTTCTCGCGTTTTCAACCGATTTTTTTTATTTCGTATTAATATAAAATATGTTTTTAGTTAAATAAAATAAATTTTAAGTCCAGATAATGATTAGATAGCTAGTTACGAGCCGTCAAAGTTTAACAAAAGTGCAACTTAGAATTCGATTTAAAAAAAATGAATAATGGATTGCCAATGATCTTAAAAATATATCTAGTTTTTCTTCTTTCCAATGATATATCACATGTAGTAATTAAATATTGAAATTCGTCAAAAAATCAAAGTTTATGGAAGAAATTGGAATAATTATACAAAAAATTTCCATACAAAGTTGATTTAGATTTTTAGAAAATAATGTGAAATAAAACACTCAAAAATAGTCATGAAAAGGAGTATAGCAGATTGTATATAGCGATGTTTAAAGAAACTTTGTATGGATAATTTTTCTATATATTTGACAAATGACAAGTGGTTAAATATAAGAAATAATAATGTTTTTCGAACAATGTTTAGCTTCAATTTTAGTACATTTTTTAACTATTAGTTTACATTTTGTTAATATTTAACCATTAGTAGCAAAATTTAACAATTAGTTACTTTAACTACTAATCAAAAAACTGGGCCTAAGGCGATCTGCACACGTTGGTGTGGTTGAAGCATAAAAGGCGTTAAAGAGTAGCCCAGCAGAAGCAATGATAACCTGTATAATAAAACAAAGAAAACACACCTAAAATACAAATAATAATAGTTAAATGACTAGTATATTTTTATATTTCGTTACATAAGTCTTAATCTAAATAATACCTATGTTATAAATAGGTTAAATAAAATAACCGGCTTATAATTGATAAATTGAGATCCAAATAAAATCACCTATATACGAGTATCTATTCGCACACAATATCTGTTGTAATTAATAGCATAATAAAGTTTAGTGTAAGTATAGAGGTTATGGTTAATACATTATTCGTTCGTTCGTTCGCTTGTTTCAGCCAAATGACGTCCACTGCTGGACAAAGGCCTCCTCCAAGATTTTCCACAACTGCCCCAACCCCAACAGCCATCGTCTCTACGAGCTATGTTTTTTTTTCACATAGCTCGTAGAAAAATACATTATTATATTAGATAAATTATTACTTATATTTAGTCTAATCGGGTTTCAGAATATGGGTCGACCTGAAGAAGTCAGATTACTTGTTACTTAAAAGCGGACACAGACACTATTGATCTACAAAACTGTGGTGGTTGGATTGAGGAATGACGGTTATAGTGCGATATGGCTATTTTTTTATGTGGGGAGATTTAGAATGTCATTACCGAAGCAAGAAATTACAGTAATACTGATGTCATTATTGGGCCTGGTTCAGATAAAGCGATAATCGCGCATTTACTGGGCAGTTCTCGTATATTTCCACTAAACCGAATCCGCACGGTTACCGCCTCAAGTGTCTCGTCAATGAAGACCACCCAGGAACCGCGTGACATTGCCTGGATGCCTATCATCATCATCATTTCAGCCATAGGACGTCCACTGCTGAACATAGGCCTCCCCCAATGCTTTCCATGTTGATCGATTGGTAGCGGCCGGCGTCCAGCGCTTCCCTGCTACCTTTACGATGGATGCCTATAGTCTAACGTATCTTCCATTAACTTTTAAGAGTGGTCGTGGGGGATGGTTGTGTCTGTTCTCGTAGAAGATGATCCTTTGATGGCCATCGAAGCGGACCTTGGCAGTGCATTTGGAGCTTCGTCTCGTACAAGTGAAGTACCGTCGACTGGCTGCTACCTGGTTAAAAGTGTAGTTGTCTACCACAAGGACATCCCTTTTGCCATGCGTTGACGTCATGAATTCGTACGCGATTTCTGTCGAAACAACGGTGGATATTAAATTCAGTAGTTGAAGAAAATTCATTTAAATTGCCTTTTAAGCGTATCTTTTTCAGATTAAACTTTGAGATCACAAGATCTATTGTTACTATGAACACTAAAAACTACCTACTTCAAAACCGGTGGGCATTCCTTTCAACAAGTACACCTACTGTAAAAAGATATCTAATTATCTACGTTAGACTGGTAGACAAAACGACTAGATTTAAACGCTAGCCCTTCTGATGGCACTGGAAGAATTTTCCTAACCAATTTCTTTCGATACTAACAATGCGGCTCGTTTATAACATTTATTAGAATAATAATTTTACAGTTGTGGCGCGGTTGGCGTTCTACAGAAAATGACACACGCGACAGCACGTATAACGGCAAATCAAGCTAACTGTGGCATCTATGGCTTATTTTTTCTTTCCTTTTCATTGGTTGTACAGGACATGTGACGAAAGTAGATACTCCAATAAAGTCTGACTGAGCGTTAGAGTCGGACATATTTTCCGTTGACTCTGACAAGCTGAGGTGGCGCGTGGTTGTGCTGGTTTTCATACATCACGATCCTGTTGTACTCGTCAAACTTGACCTTGGCAGGGCATCTAGAGGAGCACCGCTTGGTGCAGGTGAAGTATCGGCGGCCCGCTGCAATCTGGTTGAAGGTGTAACTGTCCATCACGAGGACATCCCGTTTGCCTTTGGCATTTGACGGCATAAACTCGTAAGCAATTTCTGTAGGAAATAGTGTTGTTTTTTTTATTTTATTTATTTATATTAGGAATACCAGGGTTTACAATTTACATAATTACAATAATATAGATAGAGATGTGATTGGCAGAGAATTACATTGAAGGATGATTTAAGTAAAACATCAAGTTATTAGAAAACGACTCGATTGAACCCTTCTGTTGGCAAAAATCCTTACCAATTTCTTTCGATACTAACAATGCAGCTAGTTTATGTAAAACATTTATTAGAATAACAATTTTACAGCGCGAGTTGCGGCTCGGTTTGCGTTCTACAGAAAATGACACGCATCAGTCAGTATGGATAACGACAAATTCAAGATAATTGTGGCATCTTATTTAAATTTCCTTTTTATTCTTGTAAATGTCGAGTCGGTTGAACAGGAAAGTAGATACTCCAATAAAGTCTGACTGAACGTTAGAGTCGGACATATTTTCCGTTGACTCTGACAAGCTGAGGTGGCGCGTGGTTGTGCTGGTTTTCATACATCACGATCCTGTTGTACTCGTCAAACTTGACCTTGGCAGGGCATCTAGAGGAGCACCGCTTGGTGCAGGTGAAGTATCGGCGGCCCGCTGCAATCTGGTTGAAGGTGTAACTGTCCATCACGAGGACATCCCGTTTGCCTTTGGCATTTGACGGCATAAACTCGTAAGCAATTTCTGTAGGAAATAGAGGTGTTTTTTTTTAATTTATTTATTTATATTAGGAATACCAGGGTTTACAATTTAAATAATTACAATAATATAGATATTGTTTGTGATAGTAATATAGATATGTGATTGGCAGAGAATTACATTGAAGGATGAATTAAGTAAAACATCAAGTTATTAGAAAACGACTCGATTGAACCCTTCTGTTGGCAAAAATCTTTACCAATTTCTTTCGATACTAACAATGCAGCTAGTTTATGTAAAACATTTATTAGAATAACAATTTTACAGCGCGAGTTGCGGCTCGGTTTGCGTTCTACAGAAAATGACACGCATCAGTCAGTATGGATAACGACAAATTCAAGATAATTGTGGCATCTTATTTAAATTTCCTTTTTATTCTTGTAAATGTCGAGTCGGTTGAACAGGAAAGTAGATACTCCAATAAAGTCTGACTGAACGTTAGAGTCGGACATATTTTCCGTTGACTCTGACAAGCTGAGGTGGCGCGTGGTTGTGCTGGCTTTCATACGTCACGATCCTGTTGTACTCGTCAAACTTGACCTTGGCAGGGCATCTAGAGTAGCACCGCTTGGTGCACGTGAAGTATCGGCGGCCCGCTGCAATCTGGTTGAAGGTGTAATTGTC